CGAGACTGCGTCGGCGCATTTTTCCATTTAAATTTCCTACGGTTGTTATAAATGTGTCTTATATACATGTATATATATAATTCTCCGGTCACAGTGTTTGTTATTAATTCCTCCGAAACGGTTCGACCGATTTTCATTGGAATTGTTTGTGTATATTTTATAGGTCTGTGAATAGTTAATAGGCTAGTTTTTATACTCTTATGTGTTAATAGTGGCCCGCCCCAAACGTGTATATTGTATACATATAATGTTGGCTTAATATACATGCCGATTGCAAATTGTAAATATCACACATTTTTATTGTAATATGTAATAAAGTATTGTTTGTATATAAATAAGGTTAAAAAGAAAATCGTTCTATTCGAACAATTTCAGCAAGACGCGAAGGGGCCAACTTGAGTACTCGCAACAAATGCAGCTAGAAACATTACAAAGCAACAAAACAACGTTTGCCGGATCAACGCACGTTAATCTTAGTAAAGTTTCGTCCGTTTAACATGATAAATAAATAAACGAATACGTAATGTTCCCAAGCCCAAATGATGGAAAATTTTATTGCCACTTAGCACAACGTGACGATATCAGGAAAAACGTTTTCTGCGTTATCGACAAGCGTAAAATTGTATTAGCCTAAGACAGTGATTCTCATTATTTTCTCGAGTTGTAAAGATATAATATACTATGATAATACTATAAATATAGATATAATAATTAATATCTATAATTATAGATATCTAGCGACTGCAAAATAACTGACTAACGACCCGGTTAAGTCGATAAATTAATAATAATAAGTGTTCGATAATGCAGCGATTTCGCGTTAATAATAATTCTACACGTGTGTATCGATCGACATAATAAATATAAATAATATAGAGTCACCAACTTAAAAGTATGATATTTACACGACAGTTGTGGTAATAATATGATTTTTTTTTTTTTAATTAATTATTTTCTTATTTTTTTCCTCGTCTTGTGGAGATTACGCGTCACCCCGGTTGACAACCACTGGCCTAGGACGTCGATAGTTATGGTCAAATTTGTGATATCTTATCGAATCTTGTAGCAATTATTGTTTGGTAAAAAATATGTTTTCAATTTGCCGCGACAAATTGTTCGTCTGCTGTGGGTTTAAGTTTAGCGTGACTCGCATGCGTCGCCCGTTCGGAAACGCTGAGCAGCGGCTCAAACTGTAAGCGTAAATTGTTGTGAATGTAAATGTTTACGTTAAAATACCGAGTACAACGTCCGATACATTATCCTTTACCGTGTGTACTCGTATTGTTGTTTTTTCTTATTTATTTCATAGGGTATAAAAAAGAAAAAAAAAATTAAAAAAAAAAAAAAAAGAAAACGTAAACAACAACGACGGAAAAGTTCTCGATGCGCCCGAGGTACAACACGAAGAAAGAATGCAATCAAACGCGCACGCCCAACACGTATAGAAAACATGTCTTTTGCTCTTAAAACAATTGAGATCGAGAGTATTTTTTTATTTAGCGCGGCAACATTTTTTTTTCTGCTCTCGCCGAGATAGCAGCAGACCGGCGTACAACAATCACACACGTATAGGCCTGCGTGTACATGTTTTTAATCAAAGAGGAAGCGCGTCGATCGCGCTTTGTTTTTGGCCGAACGCTAGCGCACCACGAAACGAAACGGACTGTTTGGCGGGGAAAAATGAAAAAATGTTCGCGGGCAGAAGTAACAGTCGTTTTGTGCACCGGTATTGTCGGTATTATTATTTTTTTTTTATTATCCCCCCCCCCCCGGTATCTGAATAGCGCCGAAACGACAACGGCGCGGAGTACAATCTTACAAACATCAATAACGCAGCACCGGTGGGAATTGGACGGCGATAGCGAATCGCGTCGTTCACGGTGAAACAGGATGCAAACGGACGCGGCTCCGAAACACAACAACGTGTACCGTTTCGCGGTAAACACTACCGCGATCCTCTTCGATTAAGTTTTATTTTATCGTGATCGAGATCGTATAATTCGAATAAATCGATAATTCGCACGGGATCCGTATTACGCCGTTGCGTGCGACTTACCCGAGCTAGGAACGCGCGCAGCTGCGCACTCGATGTACATCTGTGCCGCGGTAATTGTTTTCCGGGCGACGTTGTCTTGCAGTATTGTTACAGCTGACCAACGAATCGCAGATAAAAATATCTCGCGGCCCGTGTGACAAACAATGACAAATCTTCCGGCCGTCCGCGCAGAACAAAAACAGCGTCGATAGATTTATGGCGTTTTAGATCTTGTTGTCGGACTGCAAAGGACCGCAACGGACACCGTTTGCAGGATAATTTCGGACGATTTATTTTCGAACGCTGTTTATTATTATCCGGTCGTTTTCGGGTCGGTACTTTCAGGCGATATGTTATCATCGTTTTTTAGCGTTTAACGTTTTGGGGTTTCAAGTAAAAGTCTAGAACACCATATGCGCTGTGCCCGTCCCCGCCAGTCACCAGTTCGCGGTTTCGATTGTTGATACTAAAATATTACATCGTGCCCATATACTAACGAGTGACTAGAAAAATTATTATACGAATATTTAAAATTGATTCGTATTAGTCAACTGCATATACAAGATCTGTTTTTAAACTGTACATGAAGCTGTGCAGCTTATTGTTAAAAATACGTTTAGAAACCGGCGTGTTGGCACGCTTTCCGAAATCGTCATTTATTTTATACGAGTAACATAATGGCAATTTTAATTAGCAAATCATGTACACGGATGTTTTATGTTTTCCTATTCCAGATTCTAAACATCTTGTAACGTGCGTCGAACAACGGTTGGGTGCTCCGATTGTGAGAAACAATAATAATTCGTAGAGCTTTTACACGTGCCGCGTGCGGTTTCTGCAAGTGTTGTAATCCGCAGAAAATAGGTACCCTTTGTCTGTAGAATGTCACGAGTTGACGAGTGTAATAATATACATTATTTTTTTTTCTCGATAACTCTTCATTGGCTGTTACGTATTATTTGCTACAACACATTGTACAAATTTACCGGTAAAACGTTTCACACGGCGAAAAGTTACGCACCACATATTGTTTACGTTCAACGAAACGCGTTTCACAACAGTAGTACTCTAGTACAGCCGATTGGTTTTACTAGAGGTTTCCTAACTGTGATTCGCAGAGCGTTTAAGGCTCAGCAATTGTTCTCAAACGGCTCCGTTCGTTTTTCCGTAGAAAATGTAAAAACGTAACAGTTATTGATCGTTGAATATTTCGTCATCCATAGGCGTCACTGAGGGGTACGAGGGGTATTTTTGGTACTCCAGATATGTTTGTGATGTAGCAAGGGTATGTTTTTGTTAACACCCAAAAAAAAAAGTTATAGGTTTTAAACATATTTTCGATGTTTATTATTCAAGTGTGTATGAACATAGACTATCTGTTATTGTAATTGTATTCAAAACAATTACATTTTGTGATAAGTCTAATACGAACGATAAGACATACCAAGATTTATGTAGAAGAGCTTAGCCAGTTATCGTATTAAACCTATAAAAAATTAATTTTTCACTTTCTAAAAACAAATTTTGCTACCTCAAAATTTGGACTCAAGTGACGCTCATGCCGTCAACTCAAATATAGTACAGCGGTATGTGTAGAACAACATTAAAATCCCGATTGAATAGCATAATTTTTTGATTTTAAACATCACGCGTTCCCGTTCCAGTTATTTCCTGGCCAGATATATTGCGTATAAGTATAATATTAAACGTACACTATCTTGTTTCGATATCCCTTCCACTTAAATACTTATCGTGTGTAATAGGACAAATAAAACTTAACGAGGTAACACGAGAAAATACTGCTTGAAAATAGGCTCCGTGGCTAAAAAAGTTTGGGAATCGCTGGCCCATATGAATACGTGATGACAACCGTGTAGATTATTATCTCGTGGGCGTCCATGTCGCAGCGACGATCCTAACGTCATATTTATGCGGTACGTTATTGTCGAGCTTAAGATTGCACCCAACTGTTCGCGCGAGTGTATAAATAAGAATATACGGTTTATATCAGTCTGTCGGTCGCGTATTTAACGAATCCTTTTTGTACGGTTATTAACGCATGTTCCTGGTCCCCTAAATATTCCGATCTATTTGTGGCTCGTAGAAAAACATCACGTGGGACGTCTTACAAAACCTATATACCAAAACCAACGGTGTTGCGCCCGCGTACCTATACATAATCTACGAGTATACTAATACTAATAGAGAGTACAAAATTCGTGAGTTTGTGAGTTTGCCCGCGTTAATCTTTGGAAGTAATGAACTCAATTTGAAAATGCATTCATCAGCAGAAAACTACACATCGTTCCTGAGTGACATAGGCTATAGTTGATTGTGATTAATAATGTTTTTCTAATGTGAAATAACAATATTTGCCAATACATTTCTAGAGAAACGGGCTGTTAGGTTGATTAGCGTTCGTTGACTATAGGTGAATATTCGAAATCATTTTGTTTTAGTAGTTCTACTCAAAATTCCGCGGAACCACATATCTAACTCAAAAACTCAAAGGAAAAATCTCTATTGAGTGTTAAATATAAAATATAGATATGTAGTAGTGACATCCGCTAAACAAAATATATACAGTATTATGTCTTTTACTCTTTAGGAATAATTTCAATCACATTCAGTAATTTTTAAATCATATCAGGATATAATACAGTGAGTTCCGCTTAATGTGATCACTTTGGTGCAGATCATTTTGATTCTAAAAAGCATTACAACAATTTTTTTTATAATTCAATCTTTTAATACAATTATTTATTTATAATTAGATATTTAATAATTTCTAATACATATATACATAATTATAATTTTTTAATAAAATTATTGATTTTTACATTTGTTTTTATTTAATGATTCTACATTTATGCTTGAAATAAAATAAAATTTTAAATAAAATAAAATAATATTAATATATAAAAATAAAATTAAATAAATGCATTTAAAATAAATTAAAAAAGCCATTTATTTTTGATTGGACTTGACAATCTACTAATTTAGTATTCATATTAGCCTGAAATTAAATTAAATTAAATTAAAAATCATATTCATGTTTTTTATTTATTTGTTTACAATATACATTGTACATACCTGTTACAATATTGTTTCTGTTTTTCCAACGAGTCAACCACCCGATCGTTGGACTAAAATTGTCTACACCTAATTGCAAAGCTAAATTTATAGATTTTTCTTGTAAAATAGAATTACTGACCGGTACATTTAAATTTCTAGCTTGCTGAAACCATCGTAATAAAGATTCTTCTACATCAACATTTTGTCCATTTCGTTTTCGTTTTCGAGAAAGAGGCAAATTTTGTTCTTCATGTTCAACAATTTCCTTACGATTTTTTAAAATTTTGTTTAACGTTGGTTGAGGAATTTTCAGAGCTAATGCAGCTTCTCTTTGAGAACATTTATCTAATTTATCAAAACGAACGAGTATATCTTTTTTTTCTTTTATAGTTAAATCATTTCGTTTGGTCGACATTTCAAAAAATACGTCTGATCATGAACAATAAACCGAATAAACTAAATGACACAAGTACACGACGCCGCGACGTACAAAGATAATTGATTGACATAATGTACAACGATATACAATAATACTGATAAATTCAAAAATAAAATGGTTTTTATAAATTAATCAGTTTGAGATACCATAAAAACGATAAGATTGTTCATAAAAGTGATTCAATTATCCGGTACTTAGTGATTCTAATAAAAGGTCAATTTAACATTAGTAGCATACAATTTGGTTTGGGATTTTCATTTTTGATTCTAATAAACGGTTGATTCTATAAACCAGTGATCACATTAAGCGGAACTCACTGTATAACACACTCGCACACCTATATGCTTATTTCGAACTCGCTCTTACGTGAGCTTTTGGTTTCTTTTGAAGAAATATTCGATGATTTTACGTAACACACGCCCACTATGGGATAGTTCGATAATCAAAAGAAATATACCTGATATAATAGTTTACGACGTTGTACTAATTATTTTTAATAAGGAAAAAAATAAAAATAACCGTTGAATATACGAATACGATGAAAACATCATATTCTGCAGTAAGTAAATAATCACTACACCATTTGATTATCGAATTTATTATCTGCCGTTTCGACTTAATACGAGTAGAAGAAAAGCATATCGTTCATTCGTTCAAGTTTTTAAACGCAACCGTTGCTCTCCTAAATGTAATATCAGAAAACAGTATATTTTAAAGAAAATGTATACAGTTTGACTCAAAAGTTATTTATTTTCTTCTTACTTATTTTTTTTCATACTGTTCGTCGATCCGACACTGATCCCGCATTTTCAACGAATATCCATAGTACAATATTATATATCCATAGTACAGTATTATATATCCATATTACAATATTATATATCTATAATACAATATATGTACTATAACCATATAACCATAGCGAATGCGTACAAGGCGTGCAACCTTCGGGGTTCAGAATCTGAAAACGTGGAATATTAACACTTAATTAAAAGCTTTAAAAATGTTCGGAGATACGTACCCACGAGGGTTTCTGATATTTTTTTGTTATTCTTCCGGGATTTAAAAAAATAACTGAAAAAAAAAACTCTGTTAGAAACTTATTAAAATAACGCGATTATAATCGTTTTAAAATATAGCATGATAAAACTACCACCCTCTCCCGTGCAGCCTGCGCAAAAAATATGACCCACAACAGCCCGTCGTGCAAGAATTATCCGTCTCGTATAAGTAATAACATTTTAACAACAGCGGTTCGAAGCCCAAATATGCTTGTCCTTCCATTCCACTTCCCCCCCCCCCCCAACCGTAATGATTTTAAAGTTATCGGACCAAATTTTTCAACAAGTATTAAATATTCACCATGTATGTGTAGGCATTTATTATCAAATGCGACGATCCGGTGCTGTTGATCGGGACCGATTGTAGTTCAAAATGCATACCAGAACCGTGGTTATGCGAGTATGTTTGACGACATGTGAACACGGATAGTAGCTGCTCGCCTAGCAATAGTTTCCTCGTGGTGCACCAGGACAATAATAATAATACATGCGCTATGTAAATTCGTATCGTACGCCGGTAAATAGAAACGCGTATCGGAAGGGCGGCAATTGTTGCACAAAGAATCGCATCGCGACGTCTTATTATTAATTAATCCGCGTGGAGTGGCAGCAAACGTTCTCATTACTCGTCCGAGTGTGCCATGTTTTCGCGAGGCCGAAGGCGGCGACAAGAAAAATTATCATAATATAGTCTGTATAAGCTTTTTTTTTTCCCCTCGCGCTCCGTTTGATTTTATTGTTCTTGGAGTCCATCAGCGTAAATAATAACGCCGTATTGATTTCCCGTCGAACGAGACCATCATCATCATTGTCAAACATTAACCATCTTTATCATTACCATCGTTTTTTTTTTTTTTTATTCGGTTCGCGGCGAACAGCGCGGATGGAGAAATAAAAAACACATCGTACCCGGTATTGGTCAGCTCCGCGGTAACATAATCTTTACGGTACTAACGACGCGGCGGTGGTTAGTCGAATTATTTGATTTTATAGGTACATTACGTTTTAAGATAATATGTACTATTAAATGTTACTGTTTAAAAATGTTTACATTATAATATTAAGTTCGTTCGCGTTTTAGCAATTTAACTACAACAATATTTCGGCAAACCGTATAATTATTGAACTACGATTTGTAAAAAATAAAAAAATATAAAAACCGTCTGGCCGGTGGTTAATCTTCGGCGGTGGCTCGGGATAAGTGTATTTCAATAAATAATTATATCTCACTATTGGTCGGTTATGTGAGTTTACGGTTGTGCCGTTTTCGTACAAATACAAAGCACTCTATAGCAAAACAAACAAAAAATAAATAAATACAATTATTTTTCAGGGCGTTTCAGATATTCTAGACGTAGTGGGAGTACGAGGTAGAAAAAATAGTATAACGTTGAGATAGGAAATTACGATATTTTCGTCCAATTTATTATTCGCATATATTTTTAAGAACATTTTCACCGTAATTTTTTCGTTGTTGATCGTTCTTGACCGAAAAGTTTTTTCTCGTATGAAAAGATTCAGTGCAAAAACTGCTGATCGTGTGAGGTCATTATTGGCAGAGTCGACTGTTCAAAAACGTGTTGATGTAGATAAATAAAAGGCATTAATTTAGATCGTTTGAAACCGCGGTGGAATCGTATAATACCTGCTGTAGATGTATAAAATGAGTGCGTTTGAATTGTGCAATTGCTTGGACTGGTGTACCAGTGTTTAAATACATATTCTTATATAAAACGGGCGGTAAAAAAAAAAATAATAATAATAATACAGTAATAATAATTTTTAGTCGAAGGTAAAAATGGTAATTGAACGTTCTAGCTGATTCGGTTTCGCAAAGAATGTGTGTGTGTGTACGTCTATTGTTACGTCTAATGAGTAATGACGAGAGTGTATGATTATAATAATATTATAATACGAGACTGCCACGACGAACGTAATACACAGGTATGTTAATGTGTATTTTTTTTTAAAAAAAAATAAGAAAATGAAATAGAAGAAAAAACGCGTCCACGAATAATTCAAAATAAAACGGTAGCCGGGTATTACTATTACGTACGCAGTACATTTTCTGTGCGCACACGTCTAACTCGCATATGTACTGCAACTTTGCGCGCCCGAAAGAGTGTATTAAGCGCATGTTTGTGTTTGCCATCTGATACGTGTACGTTCGAAGAACTCGACAGTTCTTTAGGAAAATAAAACACGCGTCGAATATAAATCCAATGATAATTCCACAACTCTTTTTTACCGAAACGACACGTACGCAATCGATAAAACGTGAACAACGGTACTGAAAACAATATTAATAATGAATTGTAAACGAATTATGTTTACGGTTATGATAATAATAATTGTAACGTTGATAAGAAAACGTCGATATCGTACGTCGTGATGTTGCACGAGTATGTTTTGTGCGTTTTGTTTTTTAGTCGTTTTTATCGAACGCAAGTGTTGATGCGACGATTTTTTAAACGTTTAAAACGTTACACGTCGGCATGGGCGTGTCACTAAAGTTCACATTTTGGGACAGCAAAGTTTATTTTAAGAAGGTTAAGAGATACATTTTCAAAGGTCTAACATGATAACTGGCTCACTGGTTTAAGAGTACGTCACACCCGCATGTGTTGTCTCCGTCTGACATACGTAGAACGTAGCAAATTTACGTTCAGTGATTCAAATGCAGTGATGTTAGCTTCAATATTAGAGTAAACTGACCTATAATAAAACATTAAGGGAAGAACATTATCTGTGTTTTGTTGGTCGGTTTTTTCCAATATTTCAATTTTTAAGCGTGTTATGAGTATGTAAAATATAGCATTTAAAAAAACATCATAACTCGCCAAAAAATTAAGATATCGGAAAAAACTAACCAACAAAACACAGATAATGTTCTCCCCTTAAAGTTTAATTTTAGGTCAGTTTACTCTAATATTGAAGCTAACATCACTGCATTTGAATCACTGAACGCAAATTTGCTATGTTGTACGTACGTCAAACGGAGACAATACATGCAGGTATGTCGTCCTCTTAACTGACTAGCTCTTCTTCATAAATTTTGGTACGACATATAGTATGTATACAACACTGGATTATTGTCCGTACTGGACTAAAAATATAATTATTTTAGATACGATCACAATAACAGATGGTCTATGTTCGTACACACTTGAACAATAAACTTGGAATATATTTTTAAAATCCATAACTCCTTTTGGGGTAGCAAAAAGATACTCTTGCTACTCCTCGATACCACTTGATGACGCCTATGCACGTCAGTACACTTTCGGTAGGCCAACAACTCGGCCAGAGCATAGCGTCGTCTCCGGAACGTTGTTTCGCCGTACTCTTGACCGAAGTGCAAATAACGAACATCGCCTGATCCTCAAACCAACGATGGTCACGATGGTCGTGATTCCGTCGCCGAACGGATACATTTTTCGTTTCTTCCGAATGAAAACGAAGTGACTGGTGTACTAACTTGACGGTCGCGCGGACGAAAAACCGTTTCGTACGGAGTGCCGTCGGAATGCGTAATTTTAGACGCTTCGGTTACCGCGACGGTACACGACGACGGAATTCCCTGCGTCGGCCGCGCGTGCACCGTTGAACTCGACGAAATGTCAACTAAAATTAGTTGAATACTAAAATAGAAGAATTCGAGAGCGACGCCGTCGTACCGGTGTAGGGTTGAAAACGTTACGGTAAAACGCCATGCACCGCGCGATTCCGGTCCGTACACGGTCGTCGGCTCGCGCGCGTTAACCGGTACACGCCTATTAATAGGTGCCGTCGCGACGTCGTGCGCGAATCGTTTGGCCGACGTGCACTCACATCAATCGGTTCCGTATTTAATGACAATCATTCGATGTATGTTGTTTTTATATTGAAAAAGGGGGTGTATGGGATTATTTTTAATACATTTTCATACTCCCCCCTATAAAAAATCCTGAGAACGCCACTGCGTAACGCGCACGAGGGGTTATCGATCTCGGCGGGACGCGCTCGAGCTGTTGAAACCGTACGGTTTCGATAACCAGACGCGCTCGGACGAACGAATCCCCAGATAGTGCGCAATATATTGCGTAATATATACGCGTATACGCGTGTTTCGTTAGGGACGTATTTGGACTTACTTATAGAAGGAAGGGACTCAATTTTTTTTTCTTTAATTCAGGTTCAACATTTACAAGTAACGTTTTTGGTAGTATTTAAA